GAAAAATGCTTTTTTTTTTTTTTAATATATTATGCTTAGCCAAGTTCATCAATTAAGACAACAACATTTCTGGCATTTCCAGATCCAATTAGAAACTTGATAAAAGGCAGTTACATATAGGAAATACAACATTTGACTACTAAAAAATCCAAAAGGCCCCATTATTTTTGTCATTCTTTCTGCTTCAGCTGAATATTGTTTATCAAGTACTTTAGTAGTAACAACGAGTACTCCCTTACTGGACGAGATTTTCAAACACCGGCAGCAACCTTACTGTCTATCGACTTCAACACTTGTTCGCCCATCTCCTTGCACCCGACTAATTTCTGAAGAACACAATAATGAACACTCTCATCGTTATGACTTTTATGGTTGCAAATTTGATTGAATAAAATCAAATTCTTTTCAAAAAGAAACATATTATGCATTTTCCAGGTGCTGAATAGCCACAAAATCTATGCCTACGATTTCGCCTAACTACATAAAGAAAAAAAATTTAAGGAAAATAAGAAAAATTCCAGTTATCTTTCAGAAAATAACACATTTAAAGAAAAAGTAGAACTTCATTTCAACTAGAGTGAATTTCAGGGGCAGTTATGCAATTATCCATAAAATCAACGAAGCCTCACCAGTCCAGCTGAGTGAATATCACCCGTTCGAAATCCTCTATCCAGAGTATTCAACACAGCAGCCTCGATTCTTTCTGCTGCCTTCACCTCTCCCAGCCCGTATTTCAATAGCATGGCTGCACTTAGTATTGTTGCCAAAGGGTTCGCCTTATCCTGAATGTCAATTAATTTCAATGCATAAAAAAAATTATTTCATACATAAGCAATGCAAATTACCCTAGAGATTTGATGCAAATTTAAAAAATATATCCAAATCAGTCTTTTTAAAATTACAAAAAATACATCCAAATAAAAATTGTAGCAGCCTTTATACCAACCTGCCCTGCAATATCAGGAGCAGAACCATGTATTGGTTCGAATAATCCGGGTCCCTACAAAAACAAGTTCACAGACATTTATAGCCAAAAAAAAGGTACTTCAAAGTTATTACAAGAGGAGAGTGATTTTCTCTTACCGACGCACCAAGACTGGCAGAAGGAAGCATTCCTATACTCCCAGTTATCATTGAAGCCTCATCAGAAAGAATATCGCCGAATATATTGTTTGTAACAATAGTATCAAACTGCAATAATAAAAATGGTAGCATATAAGGTTATTTCATTCATTCGGGAATTTTTAAAGAAAGAAAACACCACAAACTGAAAAACCTGTTTCGGGTTTCGAACGAGCTGCATGGCCGCATTGTCGACATACATGTGAGAGAGTTCAACGTCAGGGTATTCTGAGGCCATATCCGTAACTCTCTTTCTCCATAGCATGGAAGCCTGGCAAATTGTATCATTTAATTTCAATACCCGAGCACGTTGAATGTGATGATCAGATTCGACAAGATAAATTAGCCGTGAAATTCTGTCAGCTTTTTAGTAACTATTAGCAACATAATGATTATTTTAGGTAAACACGTAATGTTGTGTTTATACACAGCTAATCTGAATTACAAGATAGAAAATTTCTGAATTTTAAAATGTCGCACATAAAATTCACCACAAGAAGATTTTATTTGTCATCGACAAACAAATTAACAATGGAGATAAGTTGCAGCTTTCACCACAAGAAGGTCTTATTTTTCATCGACAAACAAATTAATAATGGAGATAAGTTGCAGCTGGTTGATCCTCTATGAGTATAACAAATGAGTAGAGATAACTTTACATGCCCTGTCAAATAGATGATATTATAATGCATTTAGTATCAATTGACGAAGCTTATAAAATGTAAATTGATTAAAATGTATATAAGCATACTCATCCTTCGCTCCCACCATTCTATGGCCTCTTAGGAAACAAAGTAAGAATGACATGTATCTCACAATACAGTGGCTTCTGTTTATGAATTAATACTCTAAAACCCGGGAGAAATCAATCTACAAATTACCTCCAAAACATTAGCTTTGTCAACAGAACAAAGTTTCCCATTACGTTTTCGAGCAGTTTCAAATGCGACCCGCGCTATACGATCGATCTGAGAAAGAAATTTCACATTAAAAAAAAATGTATTTTTGTGTCAGATGTAAAACTGAGAAGGTTTAAAATTCATTAGACACATTAGATTTCTTAGTTACAGTAATTAAAATTTTGAAATAACCATGACTCAGCCATGTGTTAATCTCAATATAGTTTAAGACACTTGTTAAGGATAGTAGAAAAATTGTAAATTACCAAGTCAGACCAATGAAAATCTTTCTTCAGGAGATATGGAGAACTCGGAAATTTACAGAAACACCAATTAGAGGTTCATGTATTATACCTCGTGAACTGCATAAATCTCAGTGTTGAATCCAGTTTCTTCACCATTTTCATTTTTGCCAAAACCTCTTGGCTTGCCAAAATATATCCCTGAGAGCAAGATGTTTACATGAATAAGAACACTTCTTCATATATAACCACAGATAATATTACAAAACTTGAAGATATAAATCAGCAACCGAGACTATAGATGACACTAACCTCCTGTAAGTTCCCTTACTACCATCAAGTCCACACCCTCTGCAACTTCTTTTTTCAAAGTCGAAGCATCCACCAACTGTTAAGCATACATCGGACAAATTGTAAATAATCTAATAGTATCCAGCATTTTCTTTTCTTTCTTCTTCTTCTTTTTTTTTTTTTTTTTTTTTTTTTTTTTTTTTTTTTTTTTTTTGGATAAGCAAGGCTTTTGGTCACTAACAACATTAATAGCTTCACAATTTTGCCAAATGTTTATGTCCATCACCAATGAGATGCAAAGTAAAACAGAATAAGACAAGTAAACAGCACCACAACCACTTATGCATAGTACATATTTAACCGTGCACTATAAAACATAGAAAATGAGAACCAATAAACGCCATAGATAAATAGATTATATAATAACTTCGTATGAACTGCGAACATAAGTTGAATGCTTCTTTTCTGTCTAATGAGCCCTATTTTAGTGACAATTGGTTTACCTAATGAAAAATTCATTTGTCCTTGAAATGCCATCATTGGGAATTCTACCATGGTAAACTTTTCGCACTTTTGTCACTTTAACGATTTGGTAGAAATCAAAACCGAACGACATGGTCTTGACTTCTCCAAACTTAGCAAAGCTTATTTTTTTGTTTTGTTCTATATCTTCCAGAGAACATTCGTTACATTAATGATTTCTTATCATAACCAATCCATATTATACAAATTTAAACTTGCAGACGGGACAGAAAGACTCGTGACATTGCAACGCCATATTTAATTTTTTGAAATAGAACAACATATCCAGTGCCAAACTCATCTAAGTTCATTCCTCGTCCAATCTCTATATCAGGGTTGAACAGTACATTCATCCTTGATATTACCGAAAACAATTCAAATACAGAACCAAACAGCATTAAGCCAACTCATAAATCTCTTACCTGAGGGAAAACGGTTGCAGGCCTCAAGTTCGCGAACACTTGAAGACCTGCCCGGAGCTGAAGCAGCCCAGTCTCAGGCTTCAAATGTTTCTCATTATTATCCCACTTGTACCTTCAACTCAAATCCACACTTTCACTATAGGGAGTACCTCAAAAAGATATAGACACACACACATACACAGAAGCTTGATAATTACCCTCCAATGGCTCCAAGAAGAACAGCATCAGAAGCCTTTGCAGCTGAAAGTGTCTCCTCCGGCAATGGTACTCCGGTTAAATCCAAGGCGGCGCCACCCATTGGCAGTTCTTTGAACTTGAATTCAATCCCTGCCATTAAACCACGTCTACCAAGTCATTTTCATATATTCTAAACCCCAAGAAAAGGGGTGAAAAAGGGATCTTTTTTAATTTATTTTCAATTGAACTTCTGGAATCGTCAATAATTCACCTTCTTGGGAGGCGACGAGCTGTAGGGCGTCCTTAGCGACGGAGACGACCTCCGGGCCAATGCCATCTCCAGGGAGGAGAGTGAGGGTGTAGCTTTTCTTCTGTGTGGCCGCGGAGCAGCGGATACCGGCGATCTTTGGAGCGCTTTTGGGATGGGGTTTGGAATGAAGAAATCGAGGTCTCAAGGGTTTAAAGTTGAGTTGCAGGGAGACCGCCATGGATGGGAACTCAGAAAATTGTGGAACTTTTCAAAGCTGCCTTACTAGTTACTACTACTAGACTGGTTCACGAGTACGGGTTTAATGAATGAAAATGTCCCACTCATTTTGATTTGTCAAGGGAAAGAAAATGCAGAATTGTTGTGAATAAAAATATTTGTAACTTAGGGCTTGTTCTTGGGATTTTAGAAACGGGAAATGACGGGGTGTAAAATCACACATGAACAATTTTATATAGATGAAGCGTACAAAACAGGAAAAGACCATATGAAGTTAGAATATCTTCAAGAGACTTCGTATTTTAGACTTTTTATTTGGAGAAATAAGGAGCCATCTTATATCCATTTGCTTCCTATTTTCTGTTGTCCTCCAAGAGTCTCCCTATTTTATAATTTGAATTTGAACCAGGCCCACAAATCGATGGAGTCTTGATTGGGCAGCGGCGGCGGCACTTTGTTTGCGGCAGCTGCGGCGGTGGCGCCACCTTTTCGTCCTGGGGCTACGCCGGCACCTTTCATCGGTAGTGGCGGCACCTTTCTGGCGGCGACGGCTGCGAGGGATTCAATCTGTTCAGGGGCGGCGGTGGAGGGCGACGAGGGGGAGATGAAAGTAGCAGGGAGAAAAAAGACCGCGAGAGGTTGAAAAAAAAGAGCGCGTATCGAAAATAATGGCGGGGAGATGAAATGGGGGGTCGTTTTTCCCTCCCCAGAAATGAGGAATAGAAGCCTCTATTTGAGGACATCCTAAAAATAGCAAGTTTGGGGGAACTGTTGGAGACAAATTTTGAGAGAAAATCCTTATTTTTTAGATAAGAAAGAGGAATATGGAGGCTTTTGAAGATGCTCTTAAAGTGATGGTGGAAGGAGAGGTAAGACCACTAGACTTATAAATTAAACTTATTTTCTATGTGGGACAACCTACAAGTAAATATTTTAATAGTAGTACAGTACTATTTGAATAGCATTATATAATACAAAATATTCTTATTCGAATTCTATGACAAACTACATATCAAGAATATCAAAATTTAAATCACCAGTCGGATCGGAAAAATTGATTCTATTATAATCCTCCCAAGAAAAACATGATATTTATTTGTTTATTCATTTGTGAAAATAAAATATAAATTTATGAATTTTGAAGGGTAAATTGCACTTTTGGTACCCAAACTAAAATTTATTTCGCAATCAGTACCCGTTTTTTAACATTTGCAAAATCAATACATAAATTTTATTCTGCTATTGACGTTAGTACCTGGTCGTTGATTGTCCGTTAGTCGTTAACAATTCGGACTAACATCGCAGGTAGGGTTTGAATTGTTAGGAATTATTTTATTTCCTATGTATAATCTAATTATGGGCAACATATTATATACAACTATATTATATTAGCTATTCAATTAATTAATGGACTCAATTAAGTGATCTAAATTAAGTAGAGTTCATGGGCTACATAAGTTGATATGGACTTAATGAGTGGATACCTAATATTACTAGGGTTAGGTGATAATGGGTGGCCTACCCTATTAGTATATATAGACCCTCTTGGTTATGGTCCCCAATACACTAAATCAAACATAGTTCTCTCTTCTCCCCATCGGAATCGAGAACGACGGTCCCATATTAGGAATAAGGCGATTTAGTTGAGGAAGGCCATAAAACCAACACCGTTCGTGATTGATGATGTGTTCGTGATCCAAGTCATGTTCCATGGTGATCAAATCTAGAAATCTACCTAAAGTACGCTTCCGCTATCTAGTTTGATTCTCGATTATTTGATATGAATGCTCCTGGGATAAAGCGATGGTTTTCGTATAAGGTTAATTCCAACAAGTGGTATCAGAGCCTCTTCATATTGAATTTTTGGGGAATTAATTGATTTTGATTCGTATGGCAATTTAGTTCTGCGTGATTGTTTTTTTCGGATATATATATGTTTCGGTAACTGGGGTCATGTTCCGCAAATTGTATGAATATGAGTTAATTGCATATTGATTAATTGACGTGAGTGGATTTGATTTATTTTTTAAATGTGAATTGGAAACGGATTTAGTGGTCTTCATTAGCTGAATTGGTTTAATTCATGATGAATCCATCAGTGCGTTTGCGTTTGAATGGTGTTTGAATTTAGTGCATTGATCTCATTTACATCAGGAATTGGGTTTTACTGATTCAACATGTTGTGAATAATATGGTTTTGGAACATGAATTATTTATTTGCATGTTGTGGCCCGTGAGCATGTTAATATTTGTCTGGATCTGAGTTTTCAGCAAATTAAAGATTAAGCTCTTAAATCTATTTTTTGGGTCTTAGAATTTTTAAATTTTGGATTCAAATATTGGTATAAAGTTTTATATATTTTGAGATAGATTAATTGAAGCAACATGTTGCTAAAGCGACCTCTTTTGTGGAAATTAATTTATTTTGAAATATAAATAGATATGGGTACATGTAATTTGAGTGAGTATTAACCGGCCCAAAGGAAGGGGAGTACTCATTATAATTACTTGTGCTATTGCGGTAATAAACGTGTGATGATTATTTGGTTATACATGTGAACATTAAGTCATCCCAAAGGAAGATTTATTGTTTGATATGTTCTTATTGTCAATGTTTGATTACTGCATTAAGATGTCAATTACAAGTTAATATTTTGTCCAAAGATAAAATATTAATGGAGTTATGATGTCTTGAGATATAGTTACTCTTATTTGAGTTTATTATTTTAATTCTAAGTGAATTTTGTGACCGTAAACATTGATATTGTTACTTGTATGTTTTCGGGATCTATGGAGTTGTCCATCTAAAGGTTGATTTAAATTTTATTATGGTTGTTTATAAGGTTTTAAATCAACACAAGGGATTAAGTTTTATGGTCTTTCACTAAAGAAGATAAAATAAAATAGTAGATCTTTATTTTGTCTTATTTTGTTATGAGTGTATTAATTTGTGCTTAAGTTGTCATTTGGTTTTCGTCCAATTCGGCTCAATTAACAACGTTTGTTTCTAGCTTAAAATCTAGATATTTGAACTTGGTTCTATGTTTTGTGGACTTAATTCACAATTCGGCAATGTTAAGGATAGAATTTATATTGAAAATCTTCATATATAATCCATAAAGATTTTTGAGTCAATTATGAGTAACATATTAAATTTTTCATGACTTGTGTGTTTAATTTGGTTTATGCTTAAATTCCAAAATAATGTCATGTTGAGTTTATATATGCTTGAACTCATTTTTGGATGTAAATGAATTGAATTTTAGCCCAATTTGGTAATAGTGGGCTGTAAATTCAAAGAAAATTTATTTGGATTTAAGCTTATTGAAATTAGATTTTAAGTCTAATTGGTTATATGGACTTTTAATCTAAATAAAGTTGGAATTAAAATTTATTTTAATTCATGAACTTTATATCCAAAGTTTTCCTGGGGCGACGATTTAACATTGTTAAATTGAGTAATAGAGAAATTCTTGGTCACTTTTTCTATGATGTTGTGATTTTCAATTTAGTCAATCAAAGTATCATGTTGCCATAGCAACCTCTGTGCACAGAGAATGACTTTATTGAAATAATTTGAATGTTGTATGAAGTTGTTCATGTGATCTGTGCTCGGCCCATAGGTAGACACAGGTTGACCGAATAATAACGCGCATATGGTGATAAGAGAAACTCATATGGCTTTTACTCAATTGGTCTAGTAATTTTCAATTTAGTCAATCAAAACATAATGTCGCCATAGCAACCTCTGTGTGTGGAGAGCGACTTTATTGAAATTACATAGATGTCGTGTGGAATTATTTATGCATTTTGTGATCAGCCCATAGGTAGACACACTTTGGCAAAATAACAACACACATGTGATGATAAGTAAGTGATAATTATTTAGATTGTTCATATGAACATTAGTCAGTCCAAAGATAGACTTTTGTTTGACAGAACTTATTATCAATGCTTGATCATTACAACAAGATTACCACTGCAGTTAATTTTCTGTCCATAGACGAGATTAATGTTGCACTATGGTGTCTTGCCACGTGTCCCTATTTGGTCTATCTACCCATATTTATGTATGACATAAATTTATGTGTGAGTATTTTGGTATTGTTCCAAATTTTTCATCTGCTTACCTTAAGTCATTTGTCATTATATATTTTTCTATAAGTTTTATATGCTTATAGAACAATATTTGGTTGTTATTGGGACATAAGGTTGATGGATAATGTAGGAAGTTTCACTAAGGATATTTGATGAAATAATATATCTTTTGATTATTGTTTCAATTAAGTTAAATGGAACCTAAGGAAGTACATTGTGATATGTCTAAATCTCGTATTCAATCTAAAGGCACATTAATTGTGCATAAAGGTGTTTCTTTTGTTAAGTAATTAAAGAAAATTTGAACGAGAAAAGACTTAATGTACAATGTATCCTTCATTAATCCACATTCTAAAGTTTGCTTCTCAATATGAGTTAGCTAGTTTAGTTTTGTACCACTTAAGTATTTCGTGAGTAAGTTTTCTTGTTTTGTCACTCACATAAAGCAATCAAATTTTTTAAGTGGTACAAGACATATGAATCTAACTCAATTTTGTTAAGAAATATGGTTGACTACTCCTCTTTGTCAATAATGTGAGAAGCAATGTCATTCATTATTAATAGAGTTTGTGAATTGAGTAAAACACACATCCCTTATGGATTTTCAGCTTACACTTTGGGGTTGTCCAACTAAGGTAAGACTTTCATGTCTATAAGTAAATTGGACTAAAGATTGTGAATAACTACTCATTCAAAATTCTATAAAGTTTCTTTTAATAATGAATTTAAAGTTGATTTGAGGAAGTTGAGCTTGAGTGGGAGATAAGGTTATAAAGCATTTTTTTTTTATGAACGCAAATTATGGTCCCAAAATTCAAACTCAACCACCTCAAATAAGTATACATGAAGCTTTGATGAAATTATGTATAAATTGACATTTCGAGGTCTTGTCAAATTGTCTAAAAGTATGAGTCTCATTGGTCATAAATGTGGCTTAATAGATTCATAAGACAATAATGAGAGACATAAGGTATGTCTAGTCAACATAAATTTCATCTAAATATGGACTTTGGTTACAAGAGTCTTTTCTTTTGGTTTTGATGAGAAACTCTTTGTAATCTATGTCATTTTGAAGTATTTAATATTAAGTAAACTCCCTCTATGGTATTACAATTATATTAAGTCATTATCTCATTTTGTATTGAGATAAATAAAGATTGTATATACTATAGATTGAGTGGGATACTCTTACGAAAAATTAAAGTATCTATCTCATTCATTGTCCTAAGAATGAGTATAAAGTTTAGAACATACAAAAGATATGCATATGGTTGGTAATCTTTTGTATTTTCAAGAATGAGTCTAAAGTTTAAAATAGACAAAAGATATACATATGGTTGGTAATCTTTTGTATTTTCAAGAATGTATGTATTTGGATTTTGCATACATGTAATTATTTGACAAATGATTGACTATTGATTATTAACCTTTTGAATGCAGCCAAAGGGTTTTTTAAAGTTTTGTTTGAGAACAAAAGAGAGTTTACACTCACTGAAGGATTATTGGATCATTTGGGAGATCATTTGAAACTCTAATTTGGAGTTTATTGGATGTCTGTTAAGTTGAACGATCCAAATTTAAGTCAAGCTACATTAACTGCAAGTTGGAAGAACTAATTCGGAAAGTGCCAAGCAGACACTTAAAGTTTATTCCTCTTTAGCAATTGAGATTTAGCTTATCTGAAGGCATCTTATAAGGCTAAAAGTTATGGTTGCATAATATTATCACTATGTTGCATGTTGCGGATGGTATTGAATACCACTAAAGTATATTGTGATAATATTAGTTTGCCATTTTTCAGCAACAAAAAATTGTTCATAAAGTTTCTTGTTGCTAAGGATAAAATTCATGTTGATGAATTTTTTATTGAACACATAAGGATGAATGCTAGCAAATTCATAGCTCCATTATAAGGTATGCTAAGGTATAAACACTTGAAGTATTTTATGAGTATATCACTCATGTAAGTGTTACTATGGATAGTGCCTTGGTTCAGGTGGAGTTGGTGTTCAATGTTTTCTTGAAGTTATCACTTCAGTTTTCTGCAGAATAAAGTTGATGGTTCTGATTCGTTATGAATCACTAAAGTTTTCTATTTTTATGACTTCGTGTTACATTCATGGATTGATCTCAATAAGGATTTAAAGTTGGACCAGTTGGAAATAGACATGTTAAAGATCACATTGCATGTAATTTCCATGCCACTCACCATATTTGATCTATGTCATTGAGTGTACTAGTATGGTGACTTCCGGGGTTTATCCACGATGTGTAATGTGGTGAAAGCCGCGGTAGTTTCATTGCTAGTATATGAGATGGAACAGATTGTTTAAGGTAGTCTGATTATGAATAGCATAAAGTTGCGCAATTAAGGAATTAATATAATTGCTTTGGAAATAATATGTAGCCCAAGTGGGAGATTATTAGGAATTATTTTATTTCCTATGTATAATCTAATTATGGGCAACATATTATATACAATTATATTATATTAGCTATTCAATTAATTAATGGACTCAATTAAGTGATCTAAA